GGGAATGGAGGGGGGCGGCGGTGCCCGGGTCGCGGGCATGTGTTTCTTGAGACACACGTGTATTTTGAGACACGCGTGTTTTTTGAGACACACGCGTGGCCTCGGGGTGAGACAGCGGGGCTGCGGTGCCCTGGAGGGTGAGGATGAGCCGTGGATCGCGGGTGTTCCCGCCGCGCTTGTGCTCAGTGCCTGTGTGAGCACGATGTGGGCGCACCGAGCGTACAGAGACTCACACACATATACAGGATTTTAGGTGCTGGGAAACCCAGCTTAGCACATAGGTGAGAAATGAGGTGCAGACGAGGCAATACCTCTTCACTGTGGAAGGAAGTGCAGTAAGGATCATTAATTTTTTTCCAGGAGTACTGACAGGAGTTTCATCTGTGGAAAGTCCTCTCGCAGAGCTTCCACACGGGCAGAGGCAAAACACTCATTTACCAAGTCTGAGGTAAAAAATCATTTGCAAATAGTAAAACGACTCTTTATTTATTTTTTAGTTGTCTCCATAAGGGGAGCTACCAGGGGGAACTTTTTTCTTCTGTGGGCCTCCAAATTTCCTGATACTCCTTGCAAAAGAGCTTTGCTTGTTTTCCTGCTAGCCTGTGGTTCACAGGTAGCATCGACTGAACGTGTTGGCTTTAAATGGTTAAAATCTGTGCTGTGCCCCTGTACACCCCAGCAGGGTTTAGCTGCAGCTCAGTGCTTTGCAGGTAGAGCACTCTGCAGTTAATTTGCAGCACAAGCCCTGTCCCCACCTGGTAATATCGAATCAGCAATAGTGTCAGCATAGGCAGGCCCCTGAGGCATCCCTGCCTACTTCTGTCACATTTTCATCGGCCACACAGGTGTTCATTGTACACCTGCAGCTCCCAGAGCACTCAGACTGCATTAGGCTCTCCACTAGCATTAAAAAAGAAGGAATAAATGGAAGTTTTTAGCTCTTGCAGGCAAAAAGGGTGGGAAGTGCAACACAAGTGCAGCTGGAAGGCCCAGACACTTGGCTGTTTTGATTTGTGAGTCTCTGGGATTGGGCAGTACTGTCTGTGTAAGGAAGAGTCAAGCCAGAAATACCAAACATACTGCATAAACCCAGTGTGTGTATTACTCTCAGCAGCAGCTAGTGACAAGCAGTAATAAATTACTGCTCAGGAGGGTGGCTGGGGCCAGATGAAAATATACTGTTTAACTGGTACATGAGCAGTATCATTAGGAAAATACACACACCTTGGAGAGAATAAAAGTTGTGCAAAGAGTACAGCTGAGGTGGGCTTTGGTGATGATTAATGTATGAGCAAATGAACAATTTGACAGAGCACTGCATTTTTATCCAACGTCAGAGAGCGACTGTGTGTTCCAGCAGGATGTCTGGTGGCCCTCTCAGCCAGTGCACAAGGACAGGGACGCTGCTGCCTTCAGACAAACAGTGGGAGGGACATTATCAGGGTCAATAATGGCATTGGCTCTGTTGCCTGTCCAGCAGTTCATTGTCCCTTGGCACCTGAGGTGAGATTTCTGTTTGCACAGGAGTGGCAGGGGGTGGTTTGGGCTTAATCTCTGTCCCAGCACAGGAAGGACATGGAGCTGGGTGAGACAGTTCAGAGGAGGTCACCAATACAATCAGAGGGATGGAGCACCTCTGCTATGAGGAAAGGCTGAGAGAATTGGGTTGGTCACCCTGGAGAAGAGAAGGCTTTGGGATGACCTGACTGTGGCCATCCAGTGCCTGAAGGAGCTGACAAGAAAGATGGAGAGAGACTCTTCACAAGGGCCTGGAGTGACAGGAGATGGGGGCAGATTGAAAGAGAGTAGGGTTACATTGGATATTGGGAAAAAATTCTTCCCTGTGAGGGTGGTGATGCCCTGGCACAGGTTACCCAGAGAAGCTGTGGCTGCCTCATCCCTGGAAGTGTCCCAAGACCAGGTTGGACAGGGCTTGGAGCAACCTGGGACACTGGAAGGTGTCTCCCTGCCCATGGCAGGGGGTTGGAACTGGATGATCTCTAAGATCCTTTCCCACCCAAACCATTCTGTGATTCTGCATCCGAGAAGGGATGTTCTGGCTGTGTGCTAGAGGGGTGTCTGGATTTGGATGTGATTGATGTGTCCTGGTTTGGGGATGGCTTTGCAGGGAAATCAGACAGTCTGCCTCCCCAGAGGTTTAGTTGGGCTTTATATATCTTCATTTTAATTGTTTTTGGTGATGTTTAAAGGGTATTCAAATATCCTGTGCTCTGCTCATGTCCCATCATTTATTCAATATGAATGAAGTCTCATTGGAGCTTTTTCCTGGTGTTTTAAAGCATTACAGAAGCTCATCCTGAGCCAAGAATGCAGTAACATCATATTGGAAATAATGGGAAGAGGTAAATGCAAGAATTACAAATACCACATTAAGGTTATTTCCAAATCATACTAGGGCCTACATCCAAGAAAGAAAAATCAGGCTTAATAAGCACTGTGCTCTGCTGTGTTAATAAGGAGAAGTAAAAAGAGGATGAAGCTGAATAGAGGCATATAAAAGGGATGGTGTTGCTGGTGTTAGGACAACACCCTAGTTGTTCCCTTCTCTTTAGGCTGTATGGAGCAAGTGCTGTTTCTTAGCTTGGCTCAGAGTCTCTGTTGTGAGTCTGTTTTCTGTTGTTGGGTTTTTTTCATGTAGCAGACCAAGAAGAGTATAGAAAAACAGGTCAGTCTGGCTGTTGGTTGATTTGTTAGGGTCGGAAGCAAACAAGGTAGGATTCTCCAGCTACCTGCAGCTGCCTGTGGGCTAGCAGAGGGTGGGCTGGGCCTGCCAGTGGACAAGGAAGACCCAGCCAAAAAGTAGGACTCCATTCAAAGTGGATGTCCATGCCTGGCCTGGTTTGGGGCTTCAGAGATGAAGACAAGTGGTGAGCATTATACCAGTGGTCTGATGTGGATCTTTCTTACCCCAGGAAAGGTGTCTTATCATCACAAGGCTGCTTTGGAAAAACACGTTATTGTGGGCATCTCTGCCTGTATGAACACAGTCCTCAGCTTTGAAATTCCCCATCATACCAAGCTTATCTTCCTCAGCCAGGCCCTGCTTTCATTTACCTCCCTCCCCATGCCTTTCCTCAACAACCCCCTGCCTCTGCCATGCTCTGTGTTGCCCTCAAGCAAAGGTTGTGGTATTCAGCATGATGTAAAACCAGTACATCTCAGTCCTACTCAAACTCCTGTTTTCTTCCCTGGCAGTTATTTAAGTGAGAAGCAAGGAAGAATATTGTTCTGATATCTCCTATGTCCCTTGAGGATGCTGTTTGCCAGGCACTGGGCCTGTTTCTCCAGCCTTGCAAGCACTTATCTATGCCCCTTACTCAGTATTATGGGATTGCTTACTGGAGAGGCCTCAAGTGCCCTGTCTCAGATGCTGCACAACAGTAGAGATGAGAGTGGAATTGAATCCAGGCTGCTTCTCAAGGGTTACTGCTATAGGCAGACTTCTGGTTTGTCTGCTGTTTGCTCTCAGGGTTCATAAGAGCTTCAGGGTAAAATCTTCTTCCAGGAGAAAAAGGGCTGGTAAGTATTGCTCTGTTGAACCTTGTTCAAGGGCTGCATCATGCTGCCTGTGCCACTCACTATGAGTTAACTCTGGGGTAACTTCAGCACTGAGCTGATGAACAGGCTGGCCAGGAGTGTTCCACAATAACAGAGAGGCTCAAGAGCCCTGATGCATTTTGAGTTTCTGTTTCAGCCCTTATCAGCTTGGAGCAGCTTTGTTTTACTGTGTTCCTCAGAGGTCCCAGTTAAATCACATCCGTGGTGTGTCGACTGTCATTGTAAATCCCTGCTCAGGGTCCCACAGAGCAGCTGAGGTGACAGTGAGCTTTTAGCTGAAGTTCAGAGACACCAAAGAGCTCTGCACGTTCAGTTTGACCTGGGATGTGAAGGTTACATCCCCTCTTCACTCACCAACACCACTGGTCGGTTTTCCCAAACCTGTGACATCAGTGTCTAATGCTTTTCCTGCAAAAGAACCAATTTCCTTGTAATAGAATAAATAGTGCAGATTTCAGCCTGAGTTATTCTCCTAATGCTCTGGGTTATGAATGGGACCCAAAGGTGCATGAACTGAAGGACGATTTATTTTCTGAATGCTCCCATTCCTTTCCTCCCAGAGGCTGGTTCCTAGCCAGGCATAGAAGGAAAAATAATACCAAAAAAGTAAGAAATAGTTTCTCTTGCTGGCGACTCAGTGCCTGCTCTATGATCTGAACCCCACATGTAGGCTGTGGCTGAATGGGTGTTTGAAAATGCAAATACGGGGTTTGCAATAAAAAAAAAAATAAATTTCATCCACTTTGAGGTTCTTTGCCTTGTCAGGCTATTTGTGTGAAAGGAAGAATTCCCAGAGAAAAGAAAAAAGGAGGAAATAATTTTGTTTGGGTATTTTTGCTGTAGGTGTGAATAAATTATTTTTTTATCCACCGATACCAGGCTGCTTTACCTTTTCACAGCACCATGGAATCCCAGAATGGTTTGTGTTGGAAGAGGCCTCAAATCCCATTTCATTCCATCCCCTGCCATGGGCAGAGGCCCCTTCCACTATCCCAGGTTCCTCCAAGTCCCGTCCAACCTGGTCTCGGACACTTCTAGGGATGGGGCATCCACAGCTTCTCTGGGATACTGAAATCACTGATTGATCGGTGTCTCCCTTTGCCCCCAGCTCTTTGGACAGCGGTGTTTGTGTGGCTGGGTGAGAGGGCTGCTGCCGGGACAGCTTTCCTGCCGGGATCCCGCCGGGATGCTGCCAAACGTGCAGAGAACCGGCTCCCACTAGAGCGCGCTAGGGCAGTTAAAATGGAGCTGGTTTTCTGCTGGCATCAGGGTGCTTCCATCAACCATGCCTTTGTAAGGAACGGCACTTGTGTTTTTCAGCAGGGATTCTAGCTAAATTCCCCATCTTTTGAGTACGATTTCCCTGGATGAGTGTGCGGCAAAGCCAGCTGTAGCTGCCTTAGAGCACTGAGGTTTGGGCTGGCAAAAACCTGTTGGAAGATCCTGGCCTGGACAGAGGGCAAGGAGAAGCTTTATCCTCAAGCCCCGTCTCATCTCACAATCCCTTTGTTTGCTGCTCTGTAAGGCAGAGGAAGTGGAGATCTTTGCAGAACTTGGACATGGACAGGAGTCCACCTCAAAGTCCCATTGTTGGTCTGCTGCTGTCAATTGTGCATTTTGAAGCTACCCCTAACAAACTTGCCCATCTTCAGAGGAGAATTTCCTGCCTCCACCCAGGCTCTTAGAACCCTGTCTGCTACCCTCGTTTGCTTCATGTTTACTTAATTAGCCAGCTGGAGCATAATTCCTTTCATGATCTATGGTCTAATACATAAAGATGACAGTGACATGAATCTTGGCTTAGGTTTCAATTTGCATGTTAATTCATTGTGGTTCCCCAGATAGCTGGAATTTGCTCCAACAGGATCTGGGAGAAGATGAAATGGGCTCCTGTGTCCCGGCGAGAGCCCGGAGCGATAGGTGACATAGTTTTACTGTCCACCAGGCACCATCTCTTGCAGATCTACAGCAAAAAGCAAAGCAAAGGTGAAAAGCAAAGCAAAAATCCTAAATGAGGAGAGCAGAGTCATGGCTCTGGTAGCTGAGAAGCATCTGGAAATCAGTGGAGCCTGGTGAGAGAGCCTGCACAGATTAAGGAGGAACAGAGTGATTTTACACAGCAATCCAGCCCCAGCCATCTCTGGTTCACAAAGCCCTGGACACACTTATCTAGAGAGGAGAGAGACTCCAGGCAGGGAGGAAACAGTGATTTCCCTCAGTGGGAGACAAGCCCACGTTGGCTCTGAAGGGTTTAGGCACAAACCCCATCACTCC